GTCTGGAACTTAGACAAGTATTAGAATCTGTTGTACGTGTTTGGTAGGGCTTAGTCTGGAACTTAAATAAATATTATATATTGTTGTACGTGTTTGGTAGGGCTTAGTCTGGAACTTAAATAAATATTATATATTGTTGTACGTGTTTGGTAGGGCTTAGTCTGGAACTTAAATAAATATTATATATTGTTGTACGTGTTTGGTAGGGCTTAGTCTGGAACTTAAATAAATATTATATATTGTTGTACGTGTTTGGTAGGGCTTAGTCTGGAACTTAGACAAGTATTAGAAGCTGTTGTGGCCAGTAATTTCCTTTAAAAAATCGGACAGCAGCGTTCACCTATGTATGGGGGAATCTATATTTTGATCTTAATTCAAAGCCTGAATATTTTCATATAGAATAAATTTTAATATGCATTTTTCGAAGTCCTCACCCCCTGAGAAGTTGTAAATAAGTTTTTGATGTAATTGTTGAACTTTTACGGTACTACAGATGATGACCTTAAAACCTATTAGTTTTGACATTGAAAATGTTTTTAGACATTGAAAAATGTCGTCTGCTGAAATGTTTGACATTCCTTGAAACGTAATTATGGAGGCCTAATGAAGATATTGTGATCGAAACGTTGATTACATGTTTCCATCCCATTTCATCCATGTTTCCAAACTTTATCACGCTGTAATTACATTTGGTATCAAATTTAATCGTCTCGATATTTTGTAATAAGCTGATATTTTTTAACAGGGCGTTTTTCCCGGGCATTATTTAACGAAAAAATATTGTTTCGGAAGAAGCTTGCGCCAACCCCAAAGTTAGTTTGTTCACGCTCGACAGATGTCGCCACGTTTGACGATAAGTAGAACAACAAAGAGAAAAGTAGGCGCGTTTCAACCCTGGGGTCTGCACCAGATGGCTCGTCATTTTTTGTAATCATAGTTCATTGTAACTGCTGGCGGTTACCGTTAGAACGGAGATGCACGTGTTTCTCAGGGTGGACCGTTACCATTTCGATACAAGGGGGTGATGTCCAGCGAATAGTGGATCATCGGTTGTTTACTTTCTTTTACCAGAAAATGTTACACAGATGTATTTTCCCATAAGTCCAATAGAGACATGGGTACGTTAAATATATTGATAATTGTGTTAAAGTAGAGTTGGAACCTTTGTAATTATAATACTCTGTTATTAACCCTTATTGTAATAGTTATATATGAGTTCTGCTATTAGGCGAAAGGCCTCGTCGGCACTGGATATGGCAGATATACTGCTGTAGTTTCCAGATTATTAAATACTTCCTTTTCTTTCTCTGTTACGTTCTCAGCTCTAATTTCAGCTGATCTAAAGATGTAGACATCCTTTGGTGAAATGAAAAATATGTGCAACTCCTGGTGGTAAAAAAAAACTCCGCGAGTATAGAGAGAGAGAGTTTATTTCCTAGGTCACGGAAGTTGTTACTTCATTAGGGGGGGGAGCTACTTCCCCGGAAAGCTCGCCGACTATAGAGAGAGTTTATTTCCTAGGTCAC